TGTGTGTGTGTGTGTGTGTGTGTGTGTGTACATTGTATACGCACATATTTATGCATCCATATGTGCATGTACGTAGAAGTGTTCATACGTTTGTATAAGTATGTATGCATATATATACACTTTATCCCACGTTTTTTCGTACATTTCGGCATATACTTAAGTATGTGTGTAGATATGGCAGTGTGCGTGTGTGTGCGTATGTGTACACGTGAACATATATATATGCGTGTGTGTGTGCGGATATTGGCCGGAAGATGTCAGGAAAAAGAGGAGGCACAGGAGGTGGGCAGTGGAGTGAGGGACTAGTAAGTGAGTTCCGTTTTGCCTCAAAATTCAAAACTATGGCGCTGGGAAGAAGGGAGAGTTGCGGTAGGTGGACGGATGAATGGCTGCGCAGATGGATGTTGAATTTTGAGAACTTCTCGCTGCTCACAACCAATAAGTTTATGGCCGACAGGCGGAGCTATTTATATGCCGCGCCCTCCCGTCCCTCATCCCTCAACCGCTTTCTTTCTCCGTCTGCAATCGTCCAACCTCCCTGGTACATCGTTAAATGCTTCATGGATTGTTTAGTTATCTGCTACCTCCAGGGGCTTTTTCCTTGTCCCTCTGTTTACACGTCTGTGCGTGTGCGTGTATTTCTCTGTGCATGTGTGGGGGTGTGTGCACATGGGTGTTCGCGTATGCGTGTGTGCATGGGAACACTGTAGTAGGCATATTGAATGCATTTTGGTGAGGAGGCAAACGAACAACCTCAGTACTGGGAGAGGAACCCCGCCGACAGGAGGAAAATGTCTTCTTCATCCTCTTCTTCTTCTTTATCTTCAACCGATGATAACAATAAGGTGGAGGTGGTAGCACCGCGGTCAGCACCCTCGGTGCCTCAGCCTCTACGCCAACCCTCAGCGCTGCACCAGCACCATCATCATCCGTCGTCGGCGCAAATTGCCAGTTTAAGCTGCTCACTAAACACTAATAGTTGCTCTTCAGCAGGTACCGCCGCCATCGCTAACCCAACCTATATGGATATGGACCAGAAGCTGCCACCGTTCCAAGATTACACGGGCGCCGGTGTAACAGCAGCTCCTGGACCATCCACGATTTCAGCGGCAGCAACAGCTTACAACATGACACCGTCCAACTGTTACGGCTCGCTGTCAGCCCCGCTGGCCGGTACCAGCGGTAGCACGCACCATGACTTCAGCCGAGCTGGCCCCTCTCATATGTCCCCATATTTCTACCAAAATACGTTCCCCCCTTCGGCAGCAGCGGCTGCAATAGCATCGGCAACCGCGTCCGGGTCAACGTATGGCGCTGGCGCAGTCGGGGGCTCGGCCACTTTGCCACCTCATCAGCAGTACATGTACCATCAGCAACCGTCGGTTAGCTCGCCAGAAGGTACTAATTTGCATATTATTGTCTGTCTCTAATTTAGCATCTCAACGATAATCTCTCTAATTTACACCCTCCCAAAAATACAACAAACAATAATGATTATTATTGGCGTGAAAGTGGTTATAAATTATGAAAATTATGGGTAATGTATTTCACGAGGACGGTGGCGATAACGACGACGACGGTCATGATTATTATGATAGTAATAATGATAATGATGATGATGATGATTAGGGTAATTAAAGTAACAACAATATGCCTTTGGATCTCCTCCCACCCGCTTCCTCAATCACTCCTAGCTTCGCCCTTTCCCCCAGTTCCTCTTAAATCATTTGAGTGTGCGCAGCCGAATCCGGGCTTGTTCAAGCCTCTCCCCATAATTATTGGTTATTTGTTTAAGATCATAATCAAAGCTGGCATTAAGGAAAAGCCGGGTGACTCAGAAAAAACCAGCAGCCCTCGCGCTTTTCTTTCAGATTCAAATCTTTTTGATCCAGCCTAACTGCGCCTTCAGGCTCAATAATTTTATTTCCAAACAATTCATAATTACGCTTTGTTGCGACTTTTTTTTTTGCCGCCCAGGGTCGAAGGTTCTGGCACAGTGTATGGAAGCATTCCGGTAACATCACTATGTAGGAATCCCAAACCGATTGCTCAGGCAGTCCTGATATTCTTGCTAATCGTGCCTCGTTGGCATTTCTTTCACTTTCTTAATGGCCACGTTCGAGCTTTTGGACATCAAAATTATCTCTTTTTTTGTTTCCGTTTAGAAACTGTGAAATTTTCAAGAAGCTTCTTGTTTCACTGTAAGTCGCACTGGGGTATGGAGCAGTGTATATGTTCTCATTTCGGAGTGTATGTTACGTCGTGCTGTGTTTTGACAGAAGAGCTTCTAGATCTTTTAAAACCTCCCAACATAATTCCAAATTTTCCCTACTGACTGTCAGAATTTGAGGTGGAAGCGTTTGCATGCTAAATATGTACTGGGTGACTGTCAGTCTGTGCTCGCTTCCTTAGCACACTTAGATAAATTTCTCACCCTGTCCTGAAAGATTCTTGACTAGTTGTTTTTTTTTCGTTAATGCATTTTGCCTCATAGCATTGTGGTAAAATTTGTCCCCCCCCCAACCCCCAAACATACCAAAACCAAATTAGGAATGCTAAAATGCATCAAAGTTTGAAATGTGCTTGTCACATAATGAGGGAACATACTGTGCTTACGCATGGTGCAGTGGCAAGCAAAACTGCTGCCTACTAGCAGATGAAAGGTTCGATTCCATCAGTTTTAACGATTAATTGGTATTTTCTCAGACTAGTGAATCAAACTCGCCATCAGCTTGCTTCCAAGCAACTTTCGAAAGAGGAGAGTCTCGCCATTCGGTAGTTGCTGTTGGACTCGAGTTACTTCCGACCATCTCGCTTCCCAATAGTGGGTGAATAGGATGGAGGCTTTGACTTTCACAGCCGCTGCACATTACTGAGCATCTATCAGTTAGCTGTCAAAATGGTTGCCATCTTGATAAGGACACATATGTGGGTCTGTTATCACACAGGCGATCTCGAAAACATTTACGTAATGGATGTGAGCGACAGGTTGTTCAAGAAAAGACGATCCGGTGTTGTTTTCTGTCAGGTTTCCGCACCGATAACTACCGATCCTGATGAAAAGCAGTGATCAACGCTGGCATGATAGGAGGGATGCACAAGGCGGGAGGGAGAGGAGGAGGGGAAAATATGTGCACAAAATATAGTGAGATCAAAATAAAGTTAGTTAACAGTGACTTTTAGCCGTCTCGGCGCATTACATTGTTTTCGTCTATGCGGACCGTGGCCTATGACTACAAAGCCAAGAGGAGAGTAGAAACTGATTTTCTACGGAATTTGTTTCGCCCATATGAGCAAATTTACTACGGTTCGGAACAATGCTTTGATTACTGATACTTTACAATTATTTACCTTTTCTTTTTCTTTTGGACTGTCATTAATTCAGAAGTAATTTTAACTCATTTCAGAGCACTCGACAAAAATAATCGAGGGTGGCGAAGTCAGGATAAATGGAAAAGGAAAGCGCGTCCGTAAACCTCGGACGATCTATACGAGCTACCAGCTACAAGAGCTCCAGAGGAGGTTTGCGAAGACGCAATATTTGGCGCTGCCGGAACGAGCTGACCTTGCGTCAAGGCTGGGCCTCACACAGACGCAAGTAAGCTGCACTTACAGTTATTTTTAAATTTTAAAAACTTTTCGTTTAACCACACTTGCGGCTCACAATTTAAGATGTTTCGAATTCAATATTTTGCAAATAATCTAAGCTTTTCATGAAAAATTTGTTTTAAATTCCAATTTGTTAAAATTTCTCGAAAAAACATCCCAGAAACATCAATAACATGGGATATCCGCACCGATTGTCCGCGTGATCTTGATATTCCTAATATTTATAAATTTTAAAATCATCATCGTAATTTCTTTCTTAAAGCGACCGTACATCTTGTAGTAAATTTCTGAATTTCTCCGGCGATTTTTATTGATTTTATTTAAATCGAATGTTACTGATATTTCGCAATTTTAATTCACATTTTTGCATCCCTTGAAACAGTATAGATATTTTTACTCGTTACTTCGACCAACTTTTCCCTGCCTTCCATCTCACTGCTTTGCATTACTCCTACTATTTGTTATGTTAAATCAATTTATTTTTTAGCACCGCAAGTTCATATAGACAAAAAACTTTGAAAAATATTTGCATGGGGTACTTGAAATAGCTATTAATTCAAGATCCGATCTCTCATTTACAACCTAGCAACTTTCTAGTTGTTTTGGCTAATAGAACATTTATAATTGTTTTGGCTAATTTGACATTACCTGGTGGTTAGCCTTCTGGCAATTTTGACGTTCATTTCGTCTTCTTAGGGATTACCTGTTCAAAATTTCCTGTTATAATTAAAAAAACTAACCTCAAAATGACAATGTCTTGTCCTTTTACTTCTTTTCTGGTCATTCTGCGGACTAATTAGGTACAGTCAAATAGGGCATCACAGAAAATGTTCTTGAAAATCTCAGTAGCAACTTCTTACCAGCTATAAAAAAATTCTAAGTCATGTGCATCATCCGATGGAATGTTTTTAAAAATCTATTATTTTTTTTTTAAAAGTTCTGTATATTTGGGAAGTCTTAATCTTGATCAATACGCAGCTGAGGTCAATCTCCCGTTTCCTCACTTCTTCGCTTCTGCTCCGCTCGAGTCGGCTTCTGCGCCTTTCATGAAGCCGAGGTCTGAATCAAAGCTATGCCGTCTAGAAACCAAAAATTTCAATCCATTAATTAGCCCACGGATTATCCCACACCACGTCATGAGGGCTCCTTTTTCTCGCTAGTGGCCCGCCGCACGATATCGCATTCCTTACCACTCAAAAGTGAGTTAGTCCACTTTGCTTGACGCCGACAAAACAACTAAGTAACTGTATGCCTAAGCTACTAAAGCTTGTATTTGTTTTTTGCACAGTTCTGTCGATGAGATATTGTAGCTTGTAGCACTTCACGCAAATTTTCAGTATTTGATGAAAATTCAGTCTATATTTATTTAAGTAAACAGGACAAAGTTAAAACCCTTATAACATTTGCATTTTGTGATAAGCGGGGCGCTCGGAAAGTATTTCGAGTGCTAGCAAATGCCAACA